GATTACATCGCCCAGAGGGAGCATATAGATTAGGAAAAGAAGAGGGCCAAGGATGGAGCCCTGGGGTATCCTGCAGGTGACCGGGCGGGGGCAGGAGGAGAAACCATTTGCTGAGATGAAGTAGAGGCGTTGGTTAAGTAGGACTCAAACCATATGAGTGCGGTCCCTCTAAGGTGGAGGAGGATTGTGTGGTCGACTGTGTCAAATGTGGCAGAGAAATCCAGGGGGATGAGGAGACAGAGGGAGCCCTGATCACAGATAGAGAGAACGTCATTGTGACTTTGACAAGCACTGTCTCTGTGCTGTGGGCAGGGTGAAAACCAGACTGCAGGGGCTTGAGGAGGGAGTGGAGGGAGAAATGTGACCGAATAGCTTACTTACATCAACCTCATTCATTATAATAATAATAATAATAATAATCCTTGCATTTGATATAGCGCTTTTCACGTCGGGAGGACGTCCCAAAGAGCTTCACAGAACACACTGTAAAGTGAATTGACTGTATATTTGTGGGCGAACGCGGCAGCCAATTGCGCACAGCAATGTCCCACAAACAGTCGTAGATTGAAAATGACCAATTTAATTATTGTTTTTTTTTTGGAGGGATTATTATTAGGCGCGTGGAGTAAGGAAACTTGCCCAAGGTTTCGCCCTGACTGGAATTGAACTCAGGTCTCTCACTTGCAAAGCGAGTGCTCTAACCACTGAGCTACAGGACTCCACATTCTTGATCATGCTTTTTTCTTATTTGTATAACTTTTTCAATTATACTTTGGATAGGCTTCAGGAGGATAAATTTACAAAACATTATTATTCTAACACCAGGCCCCAACCAGAATTGAATTTATTACTTGCATTTGAAATCGCAGGTTATCATGTCAAAACATCTCAAAGAGCATCAGAGTTTTTCTGTAAAGTGTATTGGGTATATTTTTTAGGCAAATGCAGCAATAAATTTCTGCACAGCAATGCCCCACAAAATAACCATAAAGTGAGTGGCCAATAGCTTTTAACTGGGAGATTGATCAAATATGGGAGCAAATGGCAATCTATGACATTCATCGTCCTGTAGCTTTGCAAGCGAGAGACCTGAGTTCAATTCCAGGCAGGGCGAAACCTTGGGCAAGTTTCCTTACTCCACACGCCTAATAATAATCCCTCCATAACCAAAAACAATAATAAAAAATTGGTCATTTTCAACCTACGACTCTTTGTGGGACATTGCTGTGCGCAATTGGCTGCCGCATTCGCCCACAAATATACAGTCAATTCTCTTTACAGTGTGTTCTGTGAAGCGCTTTGGGACGTCCTCCCGACGTGAAAAGGCTATATCAAATGCAAGGATTATTATTATTATTATTATTAAGCAGGTAGGTGGGATCTCTATTTAACGTCTCAACCAAAAGACACAACTCCTCTTACAATTTAGCACTCCCCAAGCACAGCATTGGAGTGATAAGCTGTAAGGTCAAAGTCCCAATGTGGGGCCTGAACCTACAACCATTTGGAATCAGAGGCAAGAGTGCTGACAACTGAGCCAGACTGAATATTTAAGACACAGAAGTCTATTAAGGCTTATTTCAGGATTATTATCTTCAGTGTTTGAAAAATCTGAAAAGCTCAGCCTTAATAATGTCATTCACTTGCCCAATGGCTGTCACATCTCAAAATCTTGGATTCTGGACTCATTTAAGAGACAGCCTGATGTTGTTGGGGTGGGTTTTCTGGATGAGATGGATAGGCGAAGGGCCTTCTTCACCCATAGATCTCTTGTCATTTTGTCATATTAACTAAAATGATTACACCTCACCTGCCAGATACAGTATTTAAATTCCGCTAGTAGCAGGTTCCACACAGGACTTCATATGGTTACTATAGGATGCCTGGGCCTGAAGGTGGTACCTAATAAAGGAATAACAGGACGATAGGCAAAACAGACCTTTATTCTCACGTATAAAACCAATTTAAAAGTATGTATCTCTGGATGAAACTCAGATTTTTAATAGGGTATGCTGATAAAAACAGTTGTGCTATTAAAATAAATTTAAACCAAGGGTGAGATGTTTCTTGCAGTTACATTTTTATTATAACTCAACAAATGCTTTCTAGCAGGGATGCTAACAGAGTATCAACTCCTCTGTGAAACCAATACTCTTGAAACGCAGAATGTCTAGTCGTTTGTTGGTGATTTGTGTTTGTTTACATTTTTGTTGCATATTCAACAATTCACCAGAACGATGATCATCCGTCAGTGTTGTGCAATCTGTAACAGCTCCAGTAAACACTGCTGTTTCAGGGCATATAAAATGTCTAGCAATCCAATGAGGATCTCCAAAAGTCTGCCAAAGTTTTGCAATTTTTATTGTAATCTCACAGTCAGGCTCACAGTCTTGCAATTTGCAGTGCTTAGTTGTCATCTTCTGATCTATGTCAGCTTGTTCTTCAGTGTGCTGTGGTTATTTCTGTTGTCCCAAATGACAGCAACAACATCTTGCAGTTTATGGCACTCTTCATGAGGGTAGGGTCTCGGAGTGCTGACAAGACATATGTGCACCTGGCGATGCAGAGGCACAAGCTCTTCGTATTGAAAAAAATTGTTAAGAAAAATTCTTACGTTTTGATGTGATTTTGTGGGAGTCACATTACAGTTATTGTAATGTGTGCAGTCCCAACATATTACAGTAAATCCTGTGAAGCACTTTGAGACATCCTCCCAGTGTGAAAGGCACGATCCCAAATGGAACCCCAGTAGAAAAAAGAATCTTACTCGTCAGGAGAGGGAAAGAGACAGGAGAAAAAAATGTGAAGAAAATGTGTCACAAGATTTCCAATAATAACATTGTGAGAGGACATATTCACCAGAGGAAGTGGGACAAGCCAGTACTTAGTCATAAAGAAACGACAGCTGGTGGTCAGACTTAAAGGGCAAATTCAAAACAAAAACTATAACCTTTCCCTCTCCATAAAAAGATGCAGCAAGAAAAGTACAGAGAAAGATATATCACAGCAGGGAAACCCTCATCCCCAATAATAATAATAAATAATAATAATAATAATAACAATAATAATCTTTGCATTTGATATAGCGCTTTTCACGTCGGGAGGACGTCCCAAAGCGCTTTCACAGAAGACACTGTAAAGTGAATTGACTGTATATTTGTGGGCGAGCGCGGCAGCCAATTGCGCACAGCAATGTCCCACAAACAGTCGTAGATTGAAAATGACCAATTTATTATTGTTTTTTGTTTTGGAGGGATTATTATTAGGCTCTGTGTGGAGTAAGGAAACTTGCCCAAGGTTTCGCCCCAACCTGGAATTGAACTCAGGTCTCTCGCTTGCAAAGCGAGTGCTCTAACCACTGAGCTACAGGACTCCAATACACATAGACACAAATTATTTACACCTATGCACCAAATAAATAAACAGCGGTTAGCAAAAATATCTACGTGCCCAACCTTCCCCAATAATTTTGCACAAGAGCAACAATTCAGACGAGCAATAGGAGTTAAAAATCAGAGCGAAAAGTACTTTCAGAACTGTTCTATTGTTCTATTGTTCCAGTGCTTCAGGTGAGATATTAAACCCAAATCCTGACCAGATGGACGTTAAAGATCCCATGGCACTATTTGAAAAGAGAAGGGGGTTTCTCCCGATGCCCTGGCTAACAATCCCCCAGACAAAGTTGGTCACTCATCTTATAAGTGGAGTCCTGTAGCTCAGTGGTTAGAGCACTCGCTTTGCAAGCGAGAGACCTGAGTTCCATTCCAGGCAGAGGGCGAAACCTTGGGCAAGTTTCCTTACTCCACACAGAGCCTAATAATAATCCCTCCAAAAACCCCAAAACAATAATAAATTGGTCATTTTCAATCTACGACTCTTTGTGGGACATTGCTGTGCGCAATTGGCTGCCGCGTTCGCCCACAAATATACAGTCAATTCACTTTACAGTGTGTTCTGTGAAGGGCTTTGGGACGTCCTCCCGACGTGAGAAGCTCTATATCAAATCCAAGGATTATTATTATTATTATTATTATAAGCTTGTTGTGGGACATTGCTGTGCACAAATTGTCTGCCACATTCACCTACAAAATATGCAGTCTCTACATGTTACAGTAAATCCTGTGAAGTACTTTAAAACATCTTCCCAATGTGGAAGACAGACACTATATGAAATGCAAATATTATTATTATTAACAACAATGGTTTGCATTTATATAGCGCCCTTCATGCGCTTGTGATAGTGACTTCACTAACTCATACACAATCTGGCAAATTGCAGTTATAAGTTAAACTAAGTAATGAATAGGGATCCTATCCTTGTGGATAATTAAACTCACACAGTGCAACTGGCATTATTTCTTTCCTGAAAATTCTTGCCGTAAATCCTAAAACTCAAGGATTCCTTCCCTTTGACCTATAAACTGCCCTGTTACAGTGTGTCTACAGCAAGGCCCCAAGGGTAAAGAGACAATAGTACAACTAAATATCACGTCTGGCAATAATTGCAAGTGGTACAATCAACTACATTAATTAGAAACTGAACGTGAGAGCGTAGGTTTATCTCAAGTTGTGAAAGACTGTAGCCACACATTTATACTGTACTTGTACATTGATCGATTTATCCACTTATACAAGATGAGAGCAATTCTTCGGCTGTAAAATCCTTAATTTGTGCATTTCTGTTTAACCCTGTTTAACGTAGCAATTCAGAGATTGTTTTAATCAAACAATTAATTTAGACACAAAGCTTGTTAAATAGGTGATGATGGACTATTAATGTCTTTGTCTATTTGAACGAATTACAAATGTTCTTTTGCAAACCTGTTTCTGTTGTGGCTAGACTACCTCTGCTCACTTACTAGGAGGAGAATATGCAGTGAGAGAAACAGTAAACCTGCAGGGAGGGAAGTTCAGCTGCCAGCACAAGCTGAGCTCTCAGAAAGAACCATTTCCAAGCTTTTCTATCCTTATATGGTAAAATGACACAAGGATTTTATTAGGCAGCCAGCCACTCAGTTGCTTCAACACAAGCTCACCCGATGGATACACAGCACTTCAAACTATATGAATTCCAGAGGCCGGAAATCTAACACCTCAGCCCCTGCCTGACCATCAGGGTAGTGAGTGACCGTGACGGTTTGTTGCCATTTCCACTGGTCACACAGAGCTGAATGCTGTTCATTTGTAAGTGCCTTTTTATTTTCTTTCTTGTTCCAGCTGAACAGAGTCAAATGCAGATGTGCCGAAACACATTGAGCAAATAAGTAATGAGTCTGTTTCCTGCCCTTAAAGCTTTCCAGAGAGCACAATGACAGAACGCTTTGACTGCCACTACTGCAAAGAGTCCCTGCTTGGGAAAAGATACATCCTCAGGGAGGAGAACCCCTACTGTGTGAAGTGCTATGACAGCCTTTATTCTAATACCTGTGAAGACTGCAAGAAACCAATTGCTTGTGACAATAAGGTATGTCGACAGTCATCCTCACTCATTGAAGTGTATCCTCCCTGTTGTGTTGTTGAGTCTGCTGTTTATCAATTGCTGCTTTGTAGCTGCATGCACTAGGCTGGATTTACATGCACCTTTTTACTGAAAGCTTTGAAATAATAGTAATTCAGTGTACATTATCTGCTTTCTTACTGTGGTGTTCTCTGCTGTGGACGTCCTCCCGACGTGAAAGGCGCTTTACAATTTTGTTGTAATTTTGTTTGTTGTTGAGGGGCGACTTAGCATTAAAATTAAATGGGCAGATTTCACAAACGTAGAAAGATGAGAAAGCGCCTCCGTTTTTATGTTTCCTTATCACATCGACGTGTTTGAAATGCTTGGCAAGTACAGTAGTTACTATCAAATGTAGTGACTGTTGGTTCGTAGTCACGTGTGACAGGCGTTTGCGCCAGCAAAGTTGACAAACAGCCATGAGGTGAACGAACAATAAAAACGTGACAGAGAATCATGAGGATTATTTTTTGACCACTGACAAAGGTTTTTAGTCAAAGCAGCAAAGCTCATTACAAAATAATAATCCTTACATTTGATATTGAGCCTCATCTGCACTTCACACAATGTTACTCTAAATTGTAGTGACTATATCTGTCGGCGAATGCGGGAGCCAATTTGTACGTAGTAATACTCCAAAAACAACTATGAAGTGAACGACTAATTTTATCTGGAGGTTTGTGGGCTGAGATATCAGAAAAAGTCTCTTCTCTTTTGAATAATGTCATGGGATCTTTAATGTCTACCTGTCCAGGCACAGCTGGGACCTCAGTGTAATGTCTCATCGAGAAGATGCCAACTATGACTATACAGCGTTCCTTCAGTAATACACTGAAGTGACAGCCTAGACTATGACCCCAAAATTCTTGATACGGGGTTTGGTCATTTTAATCCCGGCACATTAGAAATCAAACGTTTACATTAGGACTTTGAAGCACCGGTAAATCTTTTAACTAATTTATTGTCTACTGTTTACAGGATTTTTTAAACTTTCTTTTTCCATTTTAAAGTTTTCCTGAATTTTACATCTCTGTTGTTCCCATTTGGGGTGTTCCCAGGTGCCAAAGTGAGTCCCAGCAGGAGCTACTGGATAGGACTGAGGTGTGACCCACCCCACCTTATTTACTTTGCCTCTCACAGGGTTAGGCCACTTCCTTGACCTCGTCTACCAGATGGCAGTTCACCAATAACAAAGCTAGCCTTCTTTTTCACAGTGGAACTTTGAGTTCAGTCTAGGCTTATATTCCCAATACAGAACTGGAGGAGCGCCAAATTGTCGGAGGTGCTGTCCTTTGGATGAAACATTAAACCAAGATCCCGGCTGCCTGCTCAGGTAGATGTTAAAAATGCTGAGGCACAATTTGAAAAAGAGAATGGAGCTTCTCCCAGTGTCCTGATCAACAATCCACCAGATAAAATTTAACTGGTTTTAGAACATTGCTCTGTGCAAAATTGGCTGCCGTATTAACCTACGAAGTACACAATCCCTGCACTTCGTAGTGTAAATCCTGTGAAGAGCATTGTCTTGTTTTGATGACGTAATAAGGCATTACATCTCTCCTTCCTTGAGCACTTCACTCTCTACCATCCCTCCTCTCTCTCCCTCAAAATCCTCCTAGTTTACCACCCCCAACCCCCCCGCCAACCCTCCTGGCTCCTTCCTCACTGATATCTCCTCTCTCCTCTCAATCTTGTCCCTCTGCACTGAATACCTGCTCATAATGGGTTATTTCAACCTCAACCTAAACTCCCCTTGCACCACTTCCTCGGATTTCACTGCCCTCCTCCCTAAACCTTACCCTCCACATCGACTCACCGACCCACAAACGTAGCCACTCCCTCGACCTCATCATCACATATGGCCTTAACATTTCCGTCTTGTCAATTACGGACAAGGCCATTTCAGACCACTTCCTCATCTCCCTCTCCTCCCAGATCCCTCTCCCCTCTTCCAAACCCTCCACCATTTTTTTCTGCCCCTGGAAAAAGCTTCCCGCTGAGTCCCTCACAAATGCCCTGTTCCTTGGACCTCCTCTCCCTCAGGCCCTCCACCCGCAGCAATCCCAATGCAGCTGTCAAGGTGCTGAATGACCTTCTCTCCACAATCTTTAATTCCCTGGCTCCCCAGAAATCTAGGGCCGCTTCCAAACCCACCCGCTCCCCTGGCACAACAGTCATCTCTGTTCACTCAAAACACAAACCTGGATGCTCGAGCACAGATGGCAAAAATACGGCCTCATGATTCACCGCCGGCTGTGGGTGGAGCACTTCCGCAACTACAACTTCCCCCTCTCACAGGCCCAAACTGACTTTTACTCCAAGTAATCCTGGAGGCAAACAACAACAACAATCCAAAGATGCTATTTTCCACCGTCCATCACCTCTTCCGTGCACCCCCTCAAGTCCCCTCTATCCTCACATCAAACGACAAGTGCAAAGAGGTCCTAGGCTTCTTTGCCTCAAAAATTGAAAACACTTGCTTGGCTGCATTGTTGCCCCCCACTCCCTCCCAGCCCCCCATCATGTCCCCTTCCACCCAACCCAGACCATCCACACCACCTTCTCCCTCTGCCACGGCTCCTGCCACTCCGCCCTCCTTACACTCCTTTGCCCCCATTTCTCCCTCCTCCCCCTGAGCTACAACTTCACCTGGATGAAGATCACCACCTGCTGAATTGACTACCTCCCCACCCAGCTGCTGGTCACTCAACTCCCTCTCCTCTCCTCCCTGCTGGCCAACAAGGTCAACCTGTCTCTCTCCTCAGGCTCTGTTCCACTCCCCCTGAAAACTGCTGTCATTACACCCCTCCTCAAAAAACTCATCCTCGATCTCTCTAATCTCACACACTACCATCCCATTTCCAACCTATCCTTCCTTGCCAAAGTACTGGAATGCATTGTTGCAGATCAACTTCGGTCATAACTCTCCTTCCCCTCCCTCCTCGAGCCCCTGCAGTTTGGTTTTCGCCCTGCCCACAGCACAGAGACAGCGCTTGTCAAAATCACAAGTGACATTCTCTCTATCTGTGACCAGGGTTCCCTCATGCCTCCTTGTCCTCCTGGATCTCTGCCACCTTCAACACAGTCGACCACACCATCCTCCTCCATCGGCTCTCCTCCCTCATCCACCTCAATGTCACCGCACTTGCATGGTTTGAGCCCTACTTAACCAACCACCTCCATTTCATCTCAGCAAATGGTTTCTCCTTCCGCCCCCCCCCCCCCCCCCCGGTCACCTGCGAAATACCCCAGGGCTCCATCCTTGGTCCATGTATGTGGATGTCACACAAATCTAATTTGCCTCCTCCAGCACTAACTCCAAGTATGCTGATGTTCTATCAGCTTGTCTGTCAGACATCAAGGCCTGGATGAGTGTAAACTTCCTGCAGCTGAATGTGGATAAGACGGAAGCCATACAGCTTGGCTCCCATCAACGTCTTTACTTCTGCGGATCTAAACTCTTGGGCTCTCCCTCAGACTCACTGAACCAGTGCGCAACCCAGGTATCCAGTTCGACCCCCAACTCTCCTTCCTTCCCCACATCCAGTCCCTGACCAGGACTGCCTTCTTCCATCTCCGCCCTATTGCCTGCCTCCGACTGTACCTTACCCCAAATGTAGCCAAAACTCTCGTACATGTGTTTGTCACCTCCCACCTGGATTACTCCAACGCACTTCTCACAGGTCTCCCCAGCTCTACCATTCACAAGATCCAGTTCATTCAAAACACTGCTGCCCACATACTGACCTGGACCAAACTCTGTACCCACATCTCACCAGTTCTGGCCAGGTTCCACTGGCTCCCCATCACCAAACAGATCAACTTCAAGATCCTCACACTGGTGTTCAAATTCCTTCACTGCCTGGCACCTCCCCCCTCCCCAATCCACCACCTGGCAACTCCGCTCGACAGGCGCGGGTCTCCTGCTCGTCCCTCGCACCCTCCGCCCCACCATCAGAGGTCATGCTTTCAGCCATAACCCCCCAAAACTCTGGAACATTCTCTTTCCATCCTTCCACCTTGCCCCCTCTCTCCCCTCTTTCAATTCCCGCCTGAAAACATTCCTGTTCGACCGTGCTTATGGCCACCTCTCCCCGACTCGGAATCAGGCTCCACCACTATTAAGCACTCTGAGGCGCTACTCTGCAAGGAGGGCGCTATACAAGTGCAAGTTGTTGTTGTTGTTGTCCATCAAATGCAATTATTGGTGTTTCAGCCTGGCTCCTATCTTAGAGAAAGAAGATTTGAAGGTGAAGGGCTTGAGGGAGATTGGGACTATTAAACACATGTAGTCTTGGGTAACATTCCAATGAGTGCTGAGACGTGCCACATTGTTGGAGGTCCCAATCTTCAGATGTTATGTGAATCCAAGGTCACATCTGCATGTTGAAATGGATGTTAACATTGCCATTGCACTATTCTCTCCACTTCCTGACCCTATGTAAAATTAGTCAACAGTAACCACAAGTTTGCTCATATTGCAATAATAGAAGCTCATCTGTTGTACAATCTTATGTGCAAAAAAGCCATGATAGTGAAATCTTAATGGTTCAATGCTGTTCACACAGTATGGGCTGTATCCTCCTCTAGTCACTAAAACTGGCAATCTTTTTAATACATGTTTATAATGAGAATTCCTAATATAATCCCATTATAAACTTGGGGTGAAAAATGCAATATTTCGTAACAAGATTGACGTGATAGCATGAACAGTAGTGTAGTGTAATTATCTTAAGATAGCAGTCCAGGTCATAAATTCAAATCCTGCTGTTGTGTAATTATTTTTTAAATTATAATTTGAGCTAAAGTACCAACTGGTTCATATAATCTCCTCTAGGGAATGGAACACTATCATCCTTAGCTCGTCCCATCCATGTGTGACACCAGTCCCATACAACAACAACAACATCCATTTATATAGCACCCTTCATGTGGAGCAGCGTCTCAGAGTGTTTAACAGTGGCGGA